CCTCTTTTATAAAGGCCGTCAGACTTCTGAGGAACTTTTGAATATAGTCCAGCTGGTCAAATACTTAGTGGGTAGAATGTTTAAAGAGGAAGATATATCTATTTTACATATTCAAAAAACATTGCTCATTAATCTTTATTTTGTCTCACTTTAAGTTCTTTGTGGTTTCTACAATAAAACATTATTTTGATCTACAATCAATGTACTGTTGTGAAGTATTTCTAAATTTATCTCAATAACATTTTCAGGCTACTTCAATTTAAATGTTTAATTGAATTAACGTTCAAACTTAAAACCAAAATCAACTGTTAGTATACTGTAAAAAGGACTCATCACATCTATATTTACCTATTCCATTTTTATAGTATTTAAATGGACTCAAATCATTTCCAGTTAAAAATTGTTTCACTGATAGCAAAGCCAAGTTACTATGATTAATATTTAAGTAATAATTCCCCTCCGTAGTGGCTGTGTAGGTTGTCAATGTACCCACTGAGACAGTTAACTGGGCTGTGTGGGTGGGGTTGGACTGCATAATTGCTCCCACCTTCCATTCCCCAAATTGATCACAATCCCTCCCATTAGAGTGTGGTATCAGGATTGTTTTTGACTGTGATTCTTCCTCAGTCAAACAATGCCAATGCTCATCATCTATTCAAACGTGCAGAAAGGCCACTTGAATACAGATACCACAGTATGACTAAGAAACGTTGTAAGTGAGAAAAATAACAACATAACTGGAGAACAAGTGGAGCAACAAAAGTTTCAGCAAAGAGTGACAAACTTTAGTTCCTGTGGATATAAATAGCAGTGTTCTGTGCTGTCGCTAAGTGGCATTGGTTGATGACTCATAGAACTACCAAGAGGTTTGACTGAGCCGTTCTAATCAGCTCTTGTAGTTTTGTAAATAAAATCTTTGCACATATGGCTTACATACAAATATTTACTAAATCACTTAGTGTCTGATGTGCTTTTCTATATGTTATTTGAATAGGTAATGCTCATTTTAACATTAAACCAGTTTGGATTTTCAACACTTCTGAATTTTGATTGGAGATGGTTAGTTAACATCACAGGCAGGATTGTCTTTTGCTACATCACTAACGAGAGAATTCAAGAATACCATTTTGTTTGCCAGTGCATCCCCATTAGTGACAGTGAGTGGGTGCCAATGCACTGTTGCTAATAATTTGATACGACAAATAGGAATGTCATCACTATTTTTTTTCAGTGACACTGATACAGTTCCTTCTAGGGATTGGATGAATGGAAGCACTGCAGTGTCAATACCCAAACCTGTAACCAAACATGAAGAAATGCACATGGCTTTTCTCTTAAAGGTAATTCTATAAATTTCACACTTGATCTTGGAAGGGGAGGGAAGAGAAATTGGCACTTTATAACAAGTGACACTTGTGTTTCTCTTTCTTTTGATGGGAATATTTATTTTGGCATACAAATATTAATTAGAATTCCCACCATTGATTGAAAGGCATGTTGTGCTACGGATCTGTAAATCACTATGAAGCAGAAACTAAAAGTTTTTAAAAACTCACTGAACTGATATTTATTATGTTCTACCCTTAGCAGTATAGGTTAAAGTAAATATAAGGTACAGGCATTATTTTATACTGTTTCAAACGGACGTCAATCTGCTAAACTTGTGTTAATCAGCTACCTGACCAGATCATTTAATAATCAAGTTTCAATAGTAAATGCAAAGTATAAAATTGAAACCATGCTTTTTAAAAAAAATTACTGCGTACTTACCACAAAATAAAGCATGGTCTCTTGCATGAATAGTCCAAGTAAACAAATTTCAACGTTGAATAAACCTAGCTCGTGGGAAAATATACAGCAACCAACATTTCCTGCACAGCACATAGTAGAAATACTGCAATGGGTTTCAGTTAATGAAACCCCAGGTTCAATTCTTCATTTCAGGCAAATTTAGTGGAACCACAATTATTCTCTTTGACATTTGGTATGAAAACCAAAACATTTCCATTCAAATGGAAAAGCTGCATCCAAATTTAAACCTATTTAATCTTACCTCAACTACTAAAAGTTGCTCTGAATTAGGCATGAGACTTTGCAAGGTGCAAAATATGTATTCCCTTAAAATAAACCACCATTTTTTAACCAGATTTGGTTTTGGTTTCTTCCCAGAAAAAATAAAACATAACTTGAGTGATTTTATTATCTGCATCTCTTAAGACCTAAGACTTAAGACTTAAGCCAAATAACATCCACAAAATTCACTCATCCAAATTTAATTTGTTCATCGAACCTAAACTTTAAACAAAAGATTTAACGCAAAGATGTTGCTGCAATGAAGCTTCCTGATAGGTTAGATACATTATAACAGTATAAAGTCAAGAAAATGCAATATTATGATACTTTGTCAATGGTTTTGTACACTCGAAAGGAAAAGTTTCATGCTTTTTTGCGTTGCTTGAGATCTACTTTATAATAGCAATGTTTATCTCTCATAAGAAAGCAAAATTTAAATATTTTAAACTCAATATATTCAGGATTTAAAGGGTTAGTAAAATCTCATAAACTTATTTTTTGTTCATTACACTCCGCTTTTTGTTATTTGCATGAATACTTAGTTATATCGGGTGCCAAAGCATAAATGAACTTGGGCCATGATATCCCCAAGATTTCTAGTTGTGCACGTGTGTGAGGTTACAAGCATATTGTGTGTAAGCAATACCCATATTGCACAATGTGAAATAGCAAAATAAAGTTTAGATTTGTTTGGAAATGCAATGTGTTACATGTACGGTGTAGTGAGAGTTCTCTATTGTACTTCAGTTTCTCTCCTCTCAGAGTGACACAGTGAGATAATTGAACCAAACAGGAGGCAACGAATATCACTGTTGAAGAAACCCAGAGAAGAGGGATAAACGTTTTTCATTCCCATCCATCCATGTTGGTACTTCTGCCAAAATAGGTTCCTAAAGGTGGAGAAAATTGATCTTCCTAGAAGCTTGTCATCACTAATTGACCATACCCACAATTAGTCAGACATTCTCATGCTGCTTGTCAAAAAAAATCTAATCTTATCCCCCAAAGCAGTGATCCCCCTTGAAGTCAATTTTAACACTCTTAACACTCTTGCCTGGAGATCTGCTACCAAGCAGTCCAAAGGTCCTGTCATCACTTAGCTTCACCTGCCAACACATGCTGCTGAGCAATGAAACTTTATCTTTCAATGATCAAAGCTTAGAAGCACCACAATGACAGTGTGTCTGATAGATAAGGCAGCAAAAATAATCTTTTAAAAATTAAAATGCATTCTTCAATTTTCAGATGAATATTGTTAAGGTAAGCCCCCAAAACACTTTATCTTTGAGCACTCCTTTTTAAGAATTGTTAGTGCAGTAACTATTTTATTAAAATAAAATGTTGAAAACCACTTTACTTCCTCAGAAATATTATTACAGTTCGGTAAACATTCCTTTGTTGATTGCCTCCCAGATACAAAATGTATTGTAGCCTCCTAATTTGCAGGAAATAGCTTGTAAAATGACAAATTTGTAATTGTTCACATATTGAGGGGACTCTGCTTAGTCATTTCAAATTTAAAAATGTAATTAAACAGAGATCTTCATTCATAGATTTGCAAGCTGTTAAGTGGAAAATATCATGCAATAGTTATTTCATTTTGGGAGTTATTTTAAGAAAACTCAAGATAAAGTGCTACGTTCGAATAGCTAAGGGGGAAGAATATGTTTCAGTGTGTGATATTATAAAAGGGACTAACTGGTTCAGAAAAATAAAATATTCTGTGGGATGAGACATGATTATTGGACCATATTTATCTAAAAACTTCGACATCAGCTGTACCTGTCCTCTGACAAACACCTTCAATGTGATGCAAAACAAAATAAAGTACGCACTCTATGGTGATCGGAACTCAAGAGGTTTGAAAATGGCAGGAAAAGGAAGCAAGCTGTCAGGCACTGTGGCAATTAAGGCCATGACTCATATTTGTTCCCCCCAGCACAAGTTTAATCCTCATTTTTTAAAAAAACTAGCAATTTATCAAGGTGGCATAATTATCCATCCTGTGATAATTGCATTATGCCTCTTTTTCCCATCCACTCCTAGAACTCATTAAAAATTAAACATATGATTAGTGTAGTTAATAAGAATGTGTAAGCAAAAATAACCTATTAAATTAAATTTGTGAATATGAATATTTCCTATTCAGATACATTGAACATAAAAAAATCTGAACATCAGTAGGATTTAATTATGTTCTGATCGTTAATCCTTTACCAACAAAAGGATTTCCACCTGGTGTCAGAACAAACTCCTTTGCACAGCAGAGTTTGCAATTGTTGTTTTGCAAGGTAATCAATCAAATTGTTCATCTATATGGCAGGAGCCGCAAATCTTACAGGACTGATGAAATGGCACCTAAGAACAAATAAAGCTATCTTCAAATATGGCTGTGAAACACCAGACATCAGTGCACCACAACAGTGGACTCAGGAGGTGCAGATTGTGTGCGGATAATCAAAAGGATGCTTTACATTTACCACAGTAGGTGTGTCACAAACAGAAGAGATCTGGAGATTAGACCGGTAAGTATCAAGGTTTAGTTCCATTAAATAAATTCCATTAGTTTCCATCTTTAACAAAAGATACTAGGGAATCTCTACTAGTTTACAAGCTATTCAGTCAATTTATATTTCATAAGTTTCAGGCAATTCGATTACTATAAATCATCTCCAAAATATAGATAATCCTAATCAAGAAGAGCATAACACATACTATATCTGGTACATCCTGCAGGTTAACTTCAAAATGCCAATTTAATTTGTTGACTTCTGTTCCCATTATTACTAGAATAAAACTCTTGACATCAGAAGCATAATTACGCAGGATTATTAGTACCTGCATGATGTACAGTACAAATGGATCCCACTGGGACTTTTAAGATTAGTATTTTTCTCCTAGACACTGGCTGGAATTAATGAGGATACCTGCAACTATACTGGCGAGCTGCTGAGTGCGAATGATGGGATAGATGCTGCGTGCCTGGGTGACTGCTGCAGCTATTTTCTTTGCATGCCTTTCCTCTCCGTATGCTTTTAAGATGGACGCAAGTGACTGTTGATCTAAGGCATTCACTACGTCAGCTGCGGTGGGCATGTCGGGGTACCTACGCACAAAAAGAGCCAATTAATTTCTTTGACGTCATTTTCATTGACAGAGGTGAAGTTTCACAGCCCAGAGACACAGAGCTGAAACGCACATAGCATACAAGTATGTTTGAGGTTCTTTTTGGCAACAGATGGTAAAAAACATGAAACAAGAGAAGATATTTCACAGAGGATTCTTCGGATGTGAACCTAATTAAGCCTATTTCTATTGAAATTTCCAAACACTAATTGGAATTCTAAATTTTATCGGTTACCAAATAGTGCTAAAAATTAATAAAGCTAGAAATGTTATAATTAATAGTTCCTTTACACAATGTATGCTGCACTTTGTACAGAATCAATAAGCCCCAACTGAAAAGTCTCAGAAGATTGATGCAGAGCTTGCATGCACTGCAGGACTGTATTGGCTGAAAATGTATTTTAGTTTATAGTTAAGCAAAGCATATGGATTGGAATCTAAATGCAACTGTTTCCAGACTAAATCAATTGGATATAAAAAGAAAGCACATTGAAATGTTTTGCTTTTACAGGGAGATTTTCATTATCATTATTTTGTTCTGCAGCATCCTGATATGCATGTACAATATTGTAGTACACTAGCCATAAGTGCGGAGGCTGGAATTGTCCATCAGTTAAGCACTTTTAATTACATTCTTAAATGGACATATGGGTTTGATCGAAATGTTGATATTTTTAACCCAAACCATGTTTATAACAAAGTTAGCCAGGGGTGATTTTAACACTGCAGCTCTGCAAAAGTCCCAAGTACCCAAGAAGTGTGTACTCCCTGTGATTCTAGCCATTGGTTTTGCCAAAACCTTCCATACCTTTCTTAAAATGTTTGATATGCTCAGCCTCAATGTTTAGAGTGGCTCAGTAACACTGCATTGTGCCTTTCAACGTCAATGCCAGTAATGCAAAGGCTGGACTTTTCAGCAGAGGGTTGAAATAATAAGATCAAGAATGAAATGGGAAAGTGAATTCAGATTTGTACCAAGTCGGAGAACATGGATCACAGAAAAACAGTCAAAAGTCAAGAATAGCGGTACCAAGTCTTTTTAAGATTAAGTGAAGTAGCAGAATTGGGTAGGAAGAAACTAAGGCAATTCTCTCACAAAGATGGTTGACTGCATTTGGAATGCTCCATTTTAGGTGTGTTTGGTGGAACAAAGAGTCTGCAATAGCCTTGATGTCAATAGCTACAAAATTTAGTTTCATTCTAAATATTACTCAGACTGGGGGAACTCAAACGTGCAAAATCTGGGCATTCCTGATAAATCAAACTCCAAAACGACAAACTGAACAGCTGTAACTCCACTGTTTAACAAGAGTGGCCAGGTATAAGCTTGTTGTAGCTTGCAGCTAAGATAGCTTTGCTATAGAATTTATTTAATTACGAAAACAGAATTACATTATATTTGCACTAGACCAGAAAAAAAGCTAAATTATAAGCTCTTAATTTTGATAATTCTGCTTGCCTTCAAATCTGGCAGATTTTCTACAGCAAGAAGCCATGTTTCCCATTACCACTGTACACGGAAGAGGGATTAAATGGATTATTCAGTTCTCATGATATGAAAGAAGAATCTTTGTCATAAGGATAATGATAGTTTCTGTACCAACCTGTCCTTATCCATTCTCATGTCTAGTGGGCCGTCTTTGCTTAATGCAAAACCACGCCACGGCATGTCTAACTGCATAGAAGAACAGCCTGCATCTATGACAACTCCATCCAGAGTATCTGGCATGACTCCAGCTTCCATTAGCAAGGGCTCCAGTTGGCTAAACCTTCCTAGTAGGGGTTGAATATGGCCTCTGGAATACAAAAAAAAATGGTATTTTACAAGCATCTGTGTAAAGGTTGATAGGTTCTGTAACAAATCACTGAATATGAATCCTTCCATGCATTTTGTTGTTGTTTAGAAAAACGTCCAAACCACTCTGGTACGCTATCTTGCATGAGAGGCACTATATAAATGCACATTGTTGTTCCCATACCTTTCTCTAAATTGTTTTAAGTTTAAAGCATTTCCACTTATCCCACAATTTATTTAAATAGGTTTAAAGTACAACTAAAAGATGATCTTTGGCTGAAAAAGAGCAAAAAAAGGCTAGTTTATTCCAGCAAATTAAGGCCAAGATCTCTGCTTTCAGCTTTCAAGATATGCCCTTCTGCTCTTTAAACTTCTCAAGAAAAGATCTTCAGTAGATTTCCAATATTTACCACCATAAAATAGTACAGAAGTGGGCAGTACCTTAAACTACGCATTTTAAATACAACTATGTGCAGCATCAACACTCATGCCACTGGAGACCAAAGGAAACTCAAAGCATATTGAAATCTTTCCAAATCTAAAACTGTACCAGCACTTGTTTCATATAGTAAGCATCAAGCTAGCAGATGTTTGTACATTTGTTTTGGCCAGCCTCTTCCAGCCAGTGAAACAGCCAGAAGTGTCTGCCTAACAAAATGTGTTGAAGTCCCAAATATCAGAAGGGTGGAACACAGAACTCTATACACATTGCAAAAATGAACTCTTTTTGGAGTTTTCATTGGAGATATATAATTTGGATTATTTGTACAAGCTCCTGGACTCTCAGTTTTTAAATATGAAGGAATCTTCCCATTTTTGTAATTTACAGTATTTCTTTCTTCATTTTAAATGTTGATAAACTGAAATCTGTGTCCAGGCAAATGGCAAGGGAAGTGACTTGCTCCGGGAATTCAGCCAATTCATCTCTTCAGCCATCTGTTTGAAGTGTACAAGAATTGCCCTGAGTAACCTACCCTTTAACTTTCGCTCATTGTGGGAAAACACCTGGCATATTCCCTCTGATCATTGAGGAGCAGAATTCACAGAGTGTTAAGATTACTCACCTACGACAGAGAACATAAGCAAGGTAGACCACTGTGAGATTTTGATAATGTATTGCTGAATAACCAGTTCAGTGCAATAGGAACCACAGGTTACAATATTTGGTGTACGTTTGGCTGAGGAGCTACTGGGTTAAAGATACATCAGTGGGATTATGGCATCCATCACGAAAGTACAATACATACCAACAATGCAAAACTAATTTCTTCAAAGAAACTACAAAATCAGTCAGACCCCATTAAAATGTGTTGATTTGGTCCATAGAAATGAGGTTTTTAATATCTTGGTATGAAAAAAAGCCTGGCGATCAGAGCTTCTAGGTCATCAGGTTGATGTTAATATTGTCAGCGTCCTGGGCAACAAGTCAATTGATCAGTGTCGACTGCTCTCACAAGAGTTTCAAGCATGTGTCACGAATGCTACTGATTTGGTATGCCTTATTTCGCTGGGTGCCATGCGCAAGAAGCTAGCCAGGCTGTGCAAGAAGCCATAACTGCACTGCACTTCAGGTTCACTGGTCTAAAAAGCACCTGCACTATAAATAAACCTGTGGTAAACCAAAGCTCAGTATAACAAGGTCTGACTACGTTTTGATTAAGCATTGAGAATTTCTTTTAACTTTTAATTTCTCACAAACAGTTTTTTTGATGTCTGCTTTTCCATTCCATTAAAGTAATAAGTTCCAGTTGAAGTCATACATTTACTTTTTATTTGAATAAATAATCCATAGATTTAATCATTTGAACCAGGTTTAATAAACCCACATTCATTGCTGATAAATGGTACCTGAAAATAACCAAAAAAATGATGGCCTCAGATTTTATCTGACCAACCTCAGACTTTTTTGAGGAATTGAGATCCCAATGACTGCAAGAAACCAAATGACATATGATTATCTGGCCATTTGAACACATATATAATAAAGTATGCAGCCAGACATCACTAGTTTTTCATGGAATCAAACAAATTTGTGTATATCTGAAATAAATACACCTGGAGTCAATTCTATTATAATATAATAATCCTTGTATTTGATATAGCACCTTATCACATCTTTGAAAGGTCTCAAAGAGCTTCACAGGATATACTGTATAATATAGGTAAACATTTAGAAATAGTGTTATTTGCACTATATATTCTATTTTGGTCAGCCTTTTCCCTTTCCAAGCGTTACTCTTAATTTGATGTATGCCACATATTTCCAGCATAAATCAAAGGAGCACTTCCAAAAATATCAGTTCAGGTCTCCAAGGGTAGGCTTTTTTTAAAAAAAAGAAAGCACTGATCATCATTTATTGATGCCTCTTGATTGTCATAAGTCACATCAGTTCTAGTGATGTCAATAATTCCCAGTGGCTAGGACCGTAGCTTCAGAGAAATACTTTGAATTTACTAAGTAATGTGCAAACAAAATCAGAAAAAAAACTAAAATGCTATCCAAAAGAGTCACTCCAGAATATAACTGCAATTTGTTTCTTTCAACTCGCTCTTAAAATATTCTCTGCCCATAAGCCATTTCTTTCTGATTTTGAGTAGTTGAACTTGTTTATCAACAATCCACAAAACTTCAGTTCTTCCTTTTGATTCCTTTGAAGCCTCCTCTGTAGGATACCCAAACTATTAACCTGCAGCAACCACCATTCAAAACCACCACCTCGTACACATACCACTCAAGGTTTTACAAAGAAAAAGAAAAAACATATTCCCACCTTGCGTGATCACACCTATCTGCATGAGCTGATGTAGAAGTGAACGTACTGTACTTTACATACACCTGATGGTGTAAATAACTTGATCATAAATATATGTCTGTATAACACAATATGAACATAAAATTACTGAATCATTAATGTATAATCCAATTTTGCTTGTGTAAAAAAAGTGTTAAAGAGCTACTGAGCCACTGGTCTATGGCACACCATGACATGAATCAATAGCAATTTCTGCACATCTACCATAAAAATGTACAGCACAGAAGGTGATCTTTTGGCCCATTGTATCTGTGCCAGCTCCCTCAAAGCCTTCCATATCCTAACTACTCTGAAATAAAAACAGAAGTCGCTGGGAAGACTCAGCAGGTCAGGCAGCATCTATGGGGAAAGGAAAATGAGTCAACGTTTCGGGTCCACGACCCTTTGTCAGAACTGAGCCACGTTTCAGCTCAGTTTCGGTTCGTAGACCCGAAATGTTGACTCACTTTCCTTTCTCCATAGTTGCTGCCTGACCTGTTGAGTGTTCCCAGCGACTTCAGTTTTGTTTCAGATTTCCAGCATCTGCCAGTATTTTGCATTTTGCCCTAACTACTCTGTGCTGGAAATAAAAATTCTCCGGAAATGAACCACAAAATATTTTGGAAAAAATCATTAACAGATTTTGTCACCAGCTAATAATGCCAGGAGACTGATTACCGTTGTTTGAAATGCATGGGAAAATAGGAATAATGTCTCCGTAGGAGGGCATTTAATTGGGATAAAATTCTTCTATACCAATAAAACAACAATATCTGTGTGTATGTATGTGTGTGTGTGTGTGTCAGCTAAGATCTCAATAACCTATTGATATAGAGACACGATTTATACCTCATTGGACAGGTCTTGCATCTACGAGTGCAATGAGTATATTTGTTTTCGGGCATCTCCTACCATTGATAAGCTATGACCTAAAAAAGCTCATCACACATATATGGCAGTTTTGCGTTTTGCGCTGCAAAATGTCTGGTTAGCCGTGCCAGCTCACAGTGGTGCTGTAGCATCATGCATCACCAACATGTACGTACGTAAACACCCACTCAGACAAGTGTCGGGAGCAATAACTACACAAAATCATAAGTGGTTGTGTGAAAGAGCAATCCTTGCTCCAAATAATGAATCTGCCGGCGAGATCAATTCCCAGCTACTCAATGACATCCCTGGCCAAGAAACTGTGTACAAGCCCATAGATACTGTTCCCGACATCCAAAATGCTGTCAACTTCCCAAATGAGTTTTTAAAACTCTTTGGAATTATCCGGTTTCGATGCATAATCATGCTGCTGAGGAATCTAGATGCACCAAAGCTATGCAATGGCACAAGGTTCGTGGTAAAGCAATTGATTCCACATGTTATAGAAGCAACTATTCTGACTGGTCAGTTTAATGGGGAAGATGCATTCATTCCTCGCATCCCACTGCTCCCAAGTGACTGCTTGTTTGAATTCAAAAGGCTCCAATTCCCTGTTTGAATGTGCTTTGCCATATCAATCAACAAGGCACAGGGGCAAAGCTTAAATGTTTCTGGGGTTTTCTTGAATACACTGTGCTTTTCCCATGGACAACTCTATGTTGGATGCTCACATGTGGGTTCATTTCAAAACCTGTACATCATGGCCGAAGGAGGAAAAACTGTAAATGTCGTCTACACGGAAGCCTTGCAACAACTCGAGGATTTGCCAGATCACACAGTAAACCACTTTGGTTTACATAGCTTTGATAAGATCTTCTATCGTTCATGAAGCACTCTAAGGTGCCGTCTGGCGTGGAGAGCACTATATAATTCCAAGTTGTTGTTGTTGTAGCTATGACCCTTTGATAGGATCTTCTATGGTTGATGGGCTATGACCTAAACAAGCTCATCACACGTGTATGGCAGTTTTGCTTAAGGTGTACACACACTGTTTATGGCATATTAAATGGTTTGTGAGTGGGATCACTGAAATCTACATTCCATATTAGATCTTTTGGTTGCAAGCGTAGCTGCAACGGGTACAGCTAGTGTTAAATAAAAAGAACATTTTGTTTTCAAGTTGATACGTGCAAGCTGTCTTCATGGGCAATTGCACTGTAGGGAATGTTACTTATTCAGAGGTACCACATTTAATATTTGGTCTGTACTAACTTATTCAATGCCAGTCAGGTATGCAGAGAGAGCTCTACTGTTGGCTTCACCAATTGGGCAGAAGTCC